CACTTGCAAGCTAGCGGCAGCGCTGCTGGAGCGGAGTCTCGCGGGCTGCTGCTTGCACTAAGGCAAGGTGCTACGCACGTGTGGTCGTGTACGAGGAAGTGTTCTGCTGAGGCCAGCGCCATAGCCCAGCCTCCATAGCTGACTGGGGCTTGGACTACAGAGAGGCGCAGGGGTGGTCTGCGGGTGTACAGAGGGAAGAGGTGGGTGGAAGACGAGGAAGGAGGAAGGAGGCAGGATGATGATGATGTGAGGGCACATACCTGGTATTGGTGATCGTCTGCATTGGGCGACATCTTCAAGTACGTCGTTGGTTGCTGACGTCAACAGTTGCATTGTCAATTAGTAGGCAGATAGTAGTGTAGGGAGTAGGCTGGGCCCCGAGCGCCAAGTAGGGAGAAGGGGCCTGGATACTGTTGTTGGTGGTGGCGAGAGCAAGCTCTCATTGACATTCGGTTTTCAGTTTTACGATTCTCCATTGGTGTTATATTGGTGCAATGCTGCTCTCTGGACACTGTGATACTCTCTGGCTTTCAATGTGATTGTGCAATCTGGATTTTGTCATCTCGCTATTGCTCATTTTCCTTGCAAAAATAAAATATCCATAAGAACTTAAGAAGTCAATAAAATTGAATAAATATTGTAAATATTCCTTCCTTCTCTTTCTTTCTTTCCTTCTTTCTTTCTTTCTTTCTTTCTTTCTCTCTCTCTGGCTGGCAGGTGGGTGGGCCCGGCAGCTGGTTGGTTGGTTAAGATAACATGACGTCAGCAGCACTACCGGTTTACCGAAGAGACTGGCTTACTCTAACCATGATCCATTGATTGATTGATTGATTGGATTTGATGATGGCATAGGGATAGGGAGGGGATGGGATGGGATGATGAGGATGGAGATGGGATGCAATGAAATTGGATGGGATCAGTGCATTGACTGCATCATTGATTGATACGATTGATTGATTGATTGATTGATTGATTGATTGATTGATTGATTGATTGCTTGATTGATTGATTGATTGATCGATTAATTGATCGATTAATTGATTGACTGATTGCTTGATTGCTTGCTTGATTGATTGATTGATTGACTGGTGACTGCTTCTTTGCACAGGAGTTCTTGGTTTGGATCGGTGCATTGATTGCGTGTTGATACAGTGATTGATCCATATGATTGATTGATTGATTAATTAATTGAATTTTCAATTGATTGACTGATTTGTAATGACCCTGCCCAACACGGACTGAGGCACACAGCTCTGAGGGCCCGAAGGGCCGGTACTTACCTGTGGCCGTGACGTTGAGGGTTGCAGCGGGGAAAACACTCAAGTGGCGGGGAAAGAGGCCCGCGACACTTTGAGCAGCGGAAAAACACTCAAGTAGCAGGTAGGCCAGTACCACACCGGGTAGAGGTAGTTGTGCCTGGTACTCGAGGCCGAGCAGAAGAAGATGGCATTTTTAGAGGCCCAATAGTTGTAGGCAAGGTCTAGTTGAGTACCAGTCCAACCAGTCTGAGTCTAGGGCCTGTACGGGCAATACCAGAGTCTGCAATGATGTTTCCCTCCAAAAGGGAGGAGGTACCAGTTGCTTGGAGGCCGCGCGGCGTGGGAAGTCACTCGCCCAGAGGCAAGTAGGCCGCTATATCTCCAGGAGGAGCAAAGTGCTCCTCATTATCGGTGTGCAAGTTTGGCGACACACTGGTTGAAGCAGCGCTGCTGGGGAGGAGCAAGGACAGGAGGAGGAAGAAGACCAGGACTAGGAAGGGGGAGCGCCAGAGGTACTTACCTGGCTATGGTGGTTGCCATCTTCATCACCTTGGTGGGCACTGAAGCAAGAAGGCCCCAGCGGGGGTAGAGCTACACCAAGAAGCTTCGAGGCAGAGTCAGGCATGGCAGCCTGAGCTAGAGCAGCCATGGCTGCTTGAGTTGTCGTCTGCACATCAGGGCCAGGCCCTAGCAGTCCGACATAGCCTCGGCCTTGGAAGAAGGAGGACGAAGGGCGGCCATGGCTATGGTGGACCTCATGTGATGCCTGCAGTAGAAGAGGGTTTCGGACATTGATTCTGGTTCAGCCATTGAATATTATTATTATTATTTCTTGATGGAATAAGAGGGGAGAGATAAGGAGGAGGAGAGTGGTTGCCAAAGAAGAAGAGCGTTATCATTGGTCTATGCTGGTGTACATCATCTTCTTCTTCTTTCTTTCTTCTTCTTCTTCGTCTTCTTCTTCTTCTTCTTCTTCTTCTTTTCCCTCTCTCCTCTCAAGTTCATTCATTTCTTTTTGCATTTGGACGCATTGTACTTTCTGATGAATGTGTGCTTCGAAATTGGCCAGGATCATAACAGATTGATTGATTGATTGATTGACTGGTGACTGCTTCTTTGCACAGGAGTTCTTGGTTTGGATCGGTGCATTGATTGCTTAATTGATACAGTACAGTGATTGATTGATTGATGCGATTGATTGATACGATTGATTGATTGATTGATTGATTGATTGATTGATTGATTGATTGATTGACTGATTGATGGATTGATTGATTGATTGATTGGTGACTGCTTCTTTGCACAGGAGTTCTGCCATACAAGGATGTCCTTGATGAGTTGAACAAATGGAATTTCGGATTGGAAGAAGAAGCGACAATGCGAGCATTCGAAGATTGGAACCCTGCGCACAGGTGTGAGAGATTTCTTTTTTTTTTTTGTGGGGGGGGGAGGGGGGAGGAGTGTATCACTGTGTATCACAGTGTATGAGAGAATTCGAATGAGTATATAATATAATATTAAATGTATATACTTCTAGTCTTTTTATAGATATATGACAATACATAGATGTATATGTATGAAAGGATTTCACCTTCCTAGCCTGCCGTGACTCGATCTCGGCAGCTGTTGCTCTTGCTGTTGCCTGCTGTGCTGTATTATGTCCCGAAGTGTTGCTGCTGCTGAAGTCTGAACCCCGAACCTTGACGTTGTTCCTACCGTCTTCACCCGAATAGAACGCCTCGTCATTATAGCTGTATTTGGTGCAATTTGCAGTCTAGATAAAGTGATAATGACTGGGCGTTCCATTCAGGTGAAGACGGAAGTACTTCCTGGCTGTTGACGCACCGTGTGTTTGTGAGCATAGACTGAACCTGTGGAGTATTGAACCTGAGACCTGTTCTTGTGTGCGCGTAAAGGCCATGCTTAGCGCCACTTGTGCGGCAAGTGTGCATCCAGCCAAACCCCCTGAGTTCGTCATTAATAGGCAAAACTCCTGAGTTCGTCGTTAATCAGCAAAACTCCTGAGTTCGACATTAATCGGCAAAAATCCTGAGTTCATCATTAATCGAGGCCCAACAGGGTAGGACTGGGTACTTTTTAAATAGTCTCCGACTACTTGATTAGTTACCTTGTGACGCTCTGCTTTCATTGATCTTTTTCTATTACTTCATGTTTGTCAGTGAAACTCCGACGAAACAGTTTGTCACAACCCTTCGTTTGTTGTCCTCTCCTCCCTCTCTGCCTACGGTTTACCGGGCAGCTCTGTTTAAAAGGGCCTTTACCCGATTCAGTCCCTGATCGACGAAAGCAGCATATTGGGGTCCCTCGCCCAGAGCCCAATTCGTGAAATCAGAGCAAAAGACATGTTCTCTGGGTCAAAGGTCACATCCTGGCTAAAGTAAAGACAATGTCAAAGGTCGTGGTTGGACCCTGGACGAACAGTCACACGGTTTAGATTTGGAGGTCACATCTGTTCGCCAGGGGCAATGCAAGTCATGTCTATTCAAACAAGGGATGTGTCTGTACGTGCAGTCAATGTGTCTGTTCGTGCAGAAAGAGTGTCTGTTCGTGCATTGGGTGTGTCTGTCCAGTAGAAGTCAAAGAGTTAAGTTCCAGTCCGGATTCAAGTCAGAAAGAAAGTCTAGATTCAGATTGGGAGTCCGAAATCAAGGCCTGAAGGCCGCAGCAGCAGCAACCCCTGAAGGAAAGGGATCTGGGACACATTCACAGAGGCTGGGACTGGGAAAGGACCAGGACAGACAGAATTCAGCCCTCGCCAGGGGAGGCCAGCACTATAAGACACGAGGCAGCCTCCCCCAGAGGAAGATTCCCATTGGCATTGATGCGTGGAAGTGCTGAGGCACTTGTGCGCTGTAGTGCAGGGAGCTGGGCGCTGAAGAAGAAGCTGCGCCAGGGAGGAAATGAGCTGGGCGCTGGCTGCAGAGAAGCCATAGCCGCGCCAGCCTATGTTAGTGGTAGTAGGATTAGTAGTAGTGGGCTATCAGTGAGTGACATTCAGAGTAGATCTTTGTAGGTGAGAGTGTGCATGCATATTGAAGGGAAGAGAACCAGGACAGAGTTATTGAGAGAGAAGACAGCAAGAGAGAGAAGACAGGGGGTGAGTCTGGATATGGTGGACACTTACCTGTTGGCGCCACACTTGTGATCTGAAGGAGAACGCTGGCTGAGCCAGGTTCCACACTGTTGAATGCGAGGGAGACTTACCTCTTGTTGGCGCTGAACTCCGGAACTTTGATACTCTTTGTATTAAGTGACATTGATAATATAAGCTGCGCAACTTGGTTCTTATCTCATCTCAATCTGGTTTTGTGTGAGGTCACTTTGTACGTGTGATGACATGTATGCATGCGGTTTGATGCACTCGAGCAAGCTGTGAACAGTCAGGTTCCATGCAATTCTGGTATCAGAGCAGGTACTTGTTGTACTCACTGCGCTGGCATGAGTAAGGCCGGCGAGAAGAAGAGGAGCACGCTGGCTTGTTGATGATGTTGGCGATGGTGGAAGAAGAGGTGGATAGGGATATGGGAGAGGAGTAGGCCGAAGAGGAAGGGGCCGAAGTGATACTTACCTGAAGCGTGGAGTGCGGAGTGACGAGGAGCCTTCATCGACGATCGCTGCAAAAGAGAGAAGCACCCTTTACCCGTTACCTGGCTGCATGTGTGTGTGCATCTCTACTCCTCATCCTCTCTGGGGTCGCTGCTGCTGCTGTCAAATCAAGTCACGGGGTCTGTAATCTGGAAGATCGATGTCTGGTCACGTCAGGATCCAGAATGATTAGAGTCCTTCTATCTTCTACCCTCTAGTCCAGAGTCTGCGCGGTAGTCAAGGGAAAAATACGCTGGGAGATGGTGGCAGTCTGCCACGTTAGTATGCAAGTCCGATATAAGACATAACTAAACTAGGCAGAGACAAATAGGGATCGAAGTATTGTCTAGGCATCTGATTGAGTACCACTCCAGCTCTACCTGCGCAGAAGGACCAGCAGACAGAGTTAGAGAAGAAGATAAAAGAAAAAAGAAAGAACAACATTCATCACCAGACAAGATCAAGTGTGATATCTGTTTTAATTAGCCCAATATTTGAAGTTGACAACAAACAGTAAACTTAGAGAAAAGGAAAAAAAAAAAAAAAAAAAAAAGTCCTATTGCGTATTCAAGATTCTGAAATTCGTTATTGAAGCAGCGACATCCAGAGCTTGAAAAAAAAAAAAACAGACAAAGCAAAGTTGTTTTATCCCATCCACTTAGAGTAGCTTGAGGATCAGTTGGGAGGCCTACTTGGTGGGACCTGCGGAGGGTTTCCTGTGCTAAGTGCCACCATGGTGGACGACTTCCCGATGCAGGGCTTGATTGCCCTTTCTGTTCTGATGGGGCCTTTGTTCAGAGTTCTTTTTCCCCTGGGCTTCGGGAAGGTATGCACCCCCCGTATGATGGCGAGATCAGGAGGTATAAAGCCAGGGCTGACACCTGCAGAGCAGGCTGAAGTGGATCGCCTTCAGGCAGAAAAGAAAAAAGAAAGAGAAGAAAGGAAAAAGCAAGAGGAAGAGATAAAGAAGAAGATGCGGATGGAAGAAGAAAGAATGAAGAAGGAGATGAAAGAAAAGTTAGGGAAAGAATTGAAAGAGGAACTGCAGACCATTGAAGAAGAAGATGAACCTGCCGATGACAGGCTCATCAGACGACGGACAGAGAAAGCAGAAAGTAGTCAGGCAGGTGAAATGTTGGTTAAACCGCTGGACTGGTAAGTGTACACCAGCGATAGACTTGAAGAAACAGAAGAAGAAAGGGACACGTTCTTTGCAAGATTAGCTAACGTTACAGAGCAGAAAGAAAGGGACTTCATGCTTGAAGAAAAACGCGCGGAGCTGCACAATAAAATGTTAGCAGCAAAGCGACAAGAACTTGACGAAAGCAAAAGATTACAAACAGAGGGGGCAAGGCTGCAAAGCGAGTTGCAAGCACAGAAAGGCAAAAAGGCGGCAACCGAAGAAAAACTTGCGCTCCTGACTGAAACAGTCCTTCATACCAAGCAAGAGGTAGCCGCAATGAACCGGACTCTGCAGAAAGTTGAAAACCACCAATACGAGTTTGAAGGGGTCTGGAATACCTTTCTGCAAAAGTCCGCCAAAGACGTGGATCTGCACATTCAATCTTACTTTCTCCCATTGAACATACGTAATTTTGATTCATAGATTGCAATTGATTAGCATTCAAACTATTTATCATTCCATCACACCATTTTGATGCTCCAAACACACTTGAACACAAATAAACTATACTTGACGAGTTTTCGGCCAAAAAACTCGGTTTTAATTTCGTTCAAAAAATAAAAAATGTCCATTTTGACAAAATGGTCGTTCAACAGTCTGCAAGATCCCCTAACTGACTACACTCTGTAAGTGATAATCATGGGTACGATCCGGACATCCGGACCGCCGTCCAGGCAGTCCGGATTTGGTCCGGAATCCGGACGTCCGGTCCAGACGGTCCGGATCTGCTGAATTTCGAGGAAAAAAAAAAAAAAAAACGGTCCAGAACCCTTCCCCATTGAGGAGCCAAGCCCCCAAAATTGTTTTGAGGGTTTTTCAGGCCCGTTTATGCTTTTTTGGGGGGTCCGGACATGCTCTCTCTCTATAATAATTTATTAGACAGCCCCAAGTTTTTTATTATGAATAATTCATTACCTTTTATTAGTTTTTTTAACTTTTTTAAGTCTTTTTTTAAGCTTTTTATAGTTTTTGACTTTTAAATCAAGTTTGGTTAGGAATTCTGACATGACTCTGAGGCAAAAGTGGTTTGCATTGTT